TATATATATATATATATATGTTTTTGTGCGTGTTGCTACTACAGGCTGCAGCAGTCTCTTGTTGCCTTTATAGAAAGCCAAGAGGAGGAGAGGAGACACCTGGCGGGGGCACTCTTAGAGAAGGCGCTGTGGGCCCCAAACCACCCCTGCTTTCATGCTGCGGAGACACCGCAGCAGCAGCAACAGCAGCAGCAGCAGCAGCAGCAACAGCAGCAACAGCCTGTGTAGCAGCAGCTGCTGCAGCAGGAGCAGCTGCTGCTGCTCCTGCTGCAGCAGGAACATGCTGGCTACGCTGCAGATGGGTGCTGCTGCTGCAGCAGCACAGAGCGTGAGCTGTCTCCGTTTCTCCTTTTGCATGAGGAGACACCGCAACCAGCAGCAGCAAAAGGAGACTGCAGCAGGATAGCTTTTTTTTTTTTCTTATAGAACAGAAAAAACACAAAAGAGACAGAGGAGACAAACGACACAAAAAGGAGACAAGAGAGAAAGAAAAGAGACAGGGGAGAAAGAATAGACAGCAGAGATAGAGCACACGCAGCACAAAGAAAATAGAGAACACACAGGAGACACAGCATAGATACGAGAGACAGAGGAGACAGAGGAGACAAAGGAGACAGAAGAGAAAGGAGACAGAAGAGAAGGGAGACAGTTAGTTAGGGGTTGTGCTGCTGTGTTGTCACCTCTGGCAGCTGAAGAGGGACCCATGCATCTGCTGCTGCTTCTGTCCTGTCTCTGTGCTGCTGTCTCTGCTGCTGTTTCTTCTCCTTCTGCTGCTGCTGCTGCTGCTGCTGCTGCAGCTGCAGCTGTTGCTGCTGCTGCTGCTGCTGCAGCTGCAGTGTGTTTAGTGGAAACGGAGACAGGACAGTTTCCCATCGTCTCCTCCCGCCACCACAGCAGCGGAGACACTTTCTACTGTCTCTTGTTTTTTTTTATACAGCTGTATTATCTTCAGTGCCTGTACACCTCCGCGGTTTACGCATCCATATCCCCAGCACACCTTGGGCCTTGGGGGCCCCCCACCCATAGTAGCAGCTAGGAACCCCCCGAAGGTATGGATGAGTGCGGGCCCCCTACGCGTAGCAGCAGCTGGGGCCCCCCCAAGGGTAGCAGCAGCGGGGGGCCCCCCAAGGGTAGCAGCAGCGGGGGGCCCCCCATGGGTAGCAGCAGCTGGGGGCCCCCCAAGGGTAGCAGCAGCTGGGGCCCCCCCCCCAAGGCCCATATCGAGCATGTATACAGCTCCTTCTGCTGCGCCAGCACAAAGAAAGCCCATTTGTTCATCGATGACAGCCCCACACAAGAAGCCACGAGTGGATGCATGCACGTTGGCTGTTGGGGTGTCTGTACACCTCAGGTCCCATAGCTTGCAGCAGCCATCGGCACCCAGGGTAGCAACAGCAGAACAGGGTAGGGGGCCCCCACCCCGCCGCAGCGGCAGCACTGCGTTGAGGGCTGCTGGGTGGGCCCAAGCTGTACATACAGCTGAAGGGAGACAACGCAAGTCGAAGACACAGAGACGCCCGTCTCCTCTCCCCCCAGAGAGAAGCAGCGGAACAAACCCACTGCTGCTGCTGCTGCTGCTGATGTCTGTGACGCTTGGTGCTGCTGCTGCTGCTGCTTCTGGTGGGGGTAGCAGCAACTGAAGGTCCCCTACAGCCCCGTTGTGTGCTGCTGTTACTGTTGCTGCTACTTTTGCTGCATTCAGGTCCCATACATACACCGAGCCGCTGCGGCTACCAGCAGCAGCAAAAGCATTGAGCCACACAAACTGCAGCAACGGAGACAGCTCACATAGAGACCCCCCTGCTGCTAGATCGACAGCAGGCAGCTCAGCTATCTGTCTCCTCCCCTTTACATTCCACAGACGCAGAGACCCATCGTACCCTACAGAAGCAGCCAGGGGGTCCTCATTGGGGCCCTCGGGGCACCCGGGGCCCCCAGGGGCCCCAGCGGACCCAGGGGGGGCCCCCCAGGGGCCCCTCACCTTCAGGTCACTGACACCCGCGCGGTGCCCAGGGAGAATCTCGGTCGAGCGTATTCTCCTCTTCCTAGTACCCCCTTCTGGTCTGGGGGGCCCCCTGCGGGGGCCCCTGGTTGCTCTGGTAGTGAGTTGCTGCAGCTGCTGCTGCAGCAGCTGCTCGTGCTCCAGCTGCTCCTCGTATGGTGTTTGGGGCCCCCAAAAAGAATCTATATCTCTCTCTGTGTATGTAGAGGGAGAGGAGACATCAGGCCAGAGACAGACGCGGCCATCCATACCCCCAGAAAGGAGACAGTCTCCAGCAGCAAAAGCGCAGCAGGTGACCCAGTCGTTGTGGCCCCACGTAGCCCCATACAGCTCAGCAACCAGCCCCATAGGTATGTCTGTGCATGCAGCTGCTGCTGCTGCGCATGCATCCGCCCGCTTACACTCCAATAAATTAAACAAACGCAGAGAACCGTCCGCGCTCCCACTCGCACACAGCCTCTCTGAACACGCAGCACCAACCACACACAAACATGCATGCATGCAGCAGCAGCAGAAGCAGCAGCTGCTGCTGCTGCTGTTGCTGCTGCTTCTGGCGCGCTGCTTTAGCTGATGGCGTGCTGGTGTGTCTGCTGCTGCTGCTGCTGCTGCGTGAACAGCAACAGCAACAGCAGCAGCAGCAGCAGCAACAGCAGAGGAATCCTGCGTCCCCACAGGCCCCTTTTTTATGGGGGGGATACACCAGAGCAGCAGCAGCAAGGCGTGTGCTGCTGCTGCAGAGTGAAACCTTATTAAGTTTCTAGGGTTTAGGGTTTAGGGTTTAGGGTTTAGGGTTTAGGTCGCACTTGATGGGTGCACGTCTATACAGAGAATAGAACGATCGTGGCACTCAGAGAAAAAAGCAACAGCAGGGGGGCCCCTCCTCAGTGCTGCTGCGTTTCGCAATATATGTGTAGGATAGCTAACCCACTGTGCTGCTGCTGCTGCTGCAATGAGTCCTTCTGAAGAGCTTTCTTATAGAACGGCCGCTACTGGTTGTGCTGTA